TCTCTCTCTCTCTCTCTCTCTCTCTCTCTCTCACACACACAGACACACACACACACACACACACACACACACACACACACACGTCACACAGACACACACACAGACACAGAGACATGCAGACACACACACAAGACACATACACACAGACAGACAGACACACACACACAGTCACACAGTCACACACACACAGACATACACACAGCCACACAGACAGACATACACAGACACACACACACACACAGACACACACACACACACACACACACACACACACACCACATGGGAAGCAAGTCAATGAAAGAGAAGCTGTTACTGGCTTTGGGACTCCATTCCAGAGGGAAGATTTAACCTTCCCCAACTCTGACACCCCAGATCTGCAAGTCACCTTTCCTTTCAGGGTGCTGCACCCTTTAAACACATGGTGACACACAGGAATGAAACTGAAGGGGCCCCAGTCTCTCAGTTCCTGGCTGCCCTTCTGCCACCACAAAACACCATGGGGGCTGGTCACTGTCAGCCACAAGGGTGTCAGCGGAGGCCCGCAGGTGGCAGAGCCGTCCCAGATCGTGCGGCTGAGTGTCAAGGCACTGGTGTCAGCAGGGAGGTGACCAAGGGGGAGGAACATGTATGACAACAGAGGCAGGAGCTCAGTAGAATCAGACAGGCCAAGCCAAAAGGCAGGGTGCCCCCCCAACCTTGTCCTCCCTCTCTCCAGCACAGCCCTGACTTGCCTGGCGCCACCCCATTTTCTAAGACCCTCAGTTCCTTTCCTGCTCTCTCTCCCAGCTCCTGTCCACCAGTAACCTGCCCTAGCAGCTCCTAAGCATACTTCCTGCCTGTGGGCAGCTTGGAGAAAAGCCTGGGGGTGGTCTCCCCCAGGACAGCAGTCTCTGGGTGAGGGTGGGGATGGGGATCCTCATTCAGTCTTCTATACTTCTGTGTCCTTCAGAAAAGCAGCTCCCCCCCCCCCCTGCGCCATGGCTCAGGGACTTGTTTCCATCTGACAGCTTGGAAAGTTCTTGGGCCTACATCCTTTGGGCAAAGAGAGCCATCAGGTGAGGCCCTACCTGAACTGCAGTCCCTCCCAGCCCTGCTGCGTCCTTGATGGAGACCACACAGCTGCGGTCACTGGGAGCTTTGGGGGAGGGACAATGGAAAACTGGTACAAAGAACATGAGAGTTACTCAGTGTTTGCGGCTGGGCAAGGTTCATGTGAAGCTGCTGAGCTAGGGCCACTTCACACCCTGCCTCTTCCTCTTCCTCGCTAGAGGTGGCCACAGCACCACCACAGAGTGTCTGGGTGACCTTGAGCCCCAGTGACCTCATCCAGAAGTGGGGAGCCCAATTCCAAGCCTTCGGCAACTCCAGGGTGGCTTCACCGGAAGAGTATCAGGTGACAGACCCTGACACATCCCCTCACTCTTCTCTGGGAGCTGGTGGGGACAGGGTGGGCAGCTGAGGTGTGGAGAGAAGACGCCTTGACCTTCTAAAAGACATCAAAGGGCCCCAGAGCCCCGGAGGACAGGGTAGCAGCTGTTACCTGCTCTTCTGCAGGGCTGAGGCCGGGAGTCCTGACCGGAGCGTGCGGCACCCCAGCCCAGCGCCCCCGGTTCTCAGGGAGGGGTTGTAGGGGCAGGCCAGAGCACAGTTCCTGGAGGCTGGACATGTCTGCAGCCTGAGGAGGAGGCCAGCACGAAGTGACTGGGCAGTCAGGGGCAAGCAGGGTGGGAATAGACAGCCCCAGGGCCACCTCCTCCAGCCTCTCATTGGGTACAGAGAGGGCACAAAGGGCAGGTCATTTGGACCACTGGTTGGTAGGCAGGCTGCCTGGGTATTACTGGGAGGAGAAGCTCCTTTAAGGGCAGGCTCAAGTTAGATGGAGTTTGGAGGGTTGGTGGCTTCTGAGGCTGAGGTTTTCTCAGTCTTAGAGGATGTCACACAGGTAGCAATGTTGGAATATGTGTCTTGATGACGGGGAGTCATGTGACATTGAACCTAGCTCAAACTCTACAGAATCGAGTCCCTTGTACCCCCCTCCCCGACATTTGAGCAGGAAGGGGTCAGATAACAGGTGTGGTAACAGCTCTCCATACCCCCAGCATCCCCTAATCATTAACAGTTCAGCAAGAAAGCCTTCCTCAGCATCCTGGCCTTGGACCAGAGGCCAAAGCTGGATGTCACTCCCCTCCTCCCAGCCAGGAAGGGCCCACCATCGAGTCTCAGTGGTCCCGGTAAGTGACCACTGCTGGCCAACCTTGTGGTCTTTGCCCTGTCCCTGTGTACACAGGTGGGTGGTGACCAACTCCTCCCTCTGCACAAAAAGGTCACGACCCAGCCTTAGGCAGAGTGGGAAGGTGACCCACTGGGTAGTTTGAGCAGTACACGAGATGGCTGAAGCCTTGCAGTGGTCCTCAGAGCTCAAGTCCCATTTCACTGATAAGGAAACTGAGGTCAGAGAGCCAAGGAGACTTCGCTCAAGTTCTGTAGTTGGTCATGAATGAAGTCCAGATTGGAGGCCCAGGACCCCACATTTGGATGGAGACACCTTTGAAGTGGCTCCTGCTCTTAAGAGTCCAGTGGACAAGACAGGGTGGGGTGAGATTTTTAACAAGATGTGGTATAGCAATATGAGGAAAATAGATTGGTTTCTGAAGTCCTTGAGGCTGGAGACACCAGAGGACTCTTGCCTTTAGTGTTCTCCAACTTCCAGTTCACAGATCTTGTGGAATTCAGGGTGATGAGAGTATTTTTGATCTCAGTATTCTAGAGAGTTGGCCTTGTGGCTCCTGGACAGCCCCAGAAGTCACTTGTTTACCAGGGAAACTTTCTACTCCTGGACCCAGGGGTGGGAGGGGAGAAGGTGTTGATTACTATTTGTCAATGCCATCAGTCATGACTGTGTAAAGAATCCCATGGGGCCCCTAAGGAAGGATTCAAAGGGCTCCTATCAAGACATCAGAGGCCCTTAGAGTCCCAAGAAGTCGGTGTGTGTGTGTGGGGGGGGGCTGGAGGGTCTGCGCCTCTCACACCTCTCCTCAAGCACCTTCTGCCCAGCTGGCGTGGGAATCCTTTGTGGTAACATGCTACCCTGATTTCAGCTGGTTCTTGACTAGTTTTCCTTCTTTTGGTGCTGGGGATGTGCTCGTCAGTCCATCTACCCTTGAGTTTCAATCTTAGGCCATTTTTAACAAATTAATTCAACCGGAGGAGTGGAGCAGGCCATAGGAACCCCAATTTATAGCCAGTCAATCAAAAACCAGCTCACTGCCTTGCTGTGACTATGAGCTAAAGTGGGGGCAGCTTTGGAGATGGAGCCCCCAGTTGTGAGGTGGGGCATGTGCTCCAGGTAGACGGGGTCAGAATGCCTGTTGGTGTTTGCTGGGGCACTGGATGGTGGGGGAGGAAACTTCACATTTGTTCCCATGTGAATGGTGTTATGCAAAGTCCAAGACTGAGAAAGGTCTTTTTTCATACTGGGTCTCTAGTGCCTCCTGCTGGAGTCCTCAGCGCCCCCCTCAGGGAGGTAGGTCTCCTAGCTTCCACCTCGTGTCCTGATCTTACAGGCTCAGGTGGCCAAGCACCAACCACTTTGTGCCAGGTACAAGATGTACAAGGTACAAGATGTACAAGGTAACAAGATGTACCAGGTACAAGATGGCAGGGTAGGACCAAGCTGAATGAGGTAGGGCTCCTTTGGCAGTCCCAGCCTTGGTCCTCCCTTCTGTGAGCCTGAGCACCATGGGCCCCAACTCCAAGGCTGCACACTCTTCTCTTTGCTCATGGGTGCTGGTGCCTAGAGCCTCTTCTTCTTGCATGGGACAGCAGAAGGCTGCAGAGTTGGATAAACCCTAACTCCCTTGGCCCTTGGCCAGTGGAGGTGGGGCAGAAATAGCCTAATGAGCAGCAATCCACGTCTCTTGGCTCTAGCAGGCCTTCTCCTAGGTAACATTGTACCTGGCTGACTGGCCTCTGTTCCCTGTTTTGAGGCCCCCCAAGCAGAGACCCTCAATAATCTGTCTGTAGGGAGCCCCGCTCTCAGGAGAAAGCCAGAAACTCTGTGAAATCTGACTTTTAAATGTTTGTAACCAATTCACGCATTTTTAATATTCCCCCTGAGAAGAGGGGCAGACAGCCTCAAAGTCAGCATCCTGAATGGGATGTTCAAGACATCACCACGGGGAGACAAAGGGGCACATGGGGTACCTGGGTCACCTCACAACTGCATGTGAATCTCATCCTAGAATAAGTTATTTAGTCAGAAAACAAACATTGTACACATTTTAAAGGAAGGAGGGGCTCACACAGGCTGAACACGGCACTGTGCTAGGCTCGAGCCCCGACTGTCTTGCTCACTATCTGTGTCCCACTGGGAGAGTTTCTTGGCCTCTCTAGGTCTCCATAAGTGGAAGGATGGTTGGGTCTTAGGATGCGCATCTGAAGAGATTTCTAAAACTGCACCTGTATGCATCTGTACCTATATTTATCCTGACTATGGGTCCTCCAGCAATGCAGTCTAAAGTCTATTTGTATTAGGTATTATAAGGCACCCAGGGGTGACTGGAGGTGAATGGGAGGACTTCACAGGTTACATGCCACTCTAACATGTAAGGAAGATGAGCACCTAGGGACTGTGGTATCTGCAGGTTCCAGCACCATGGACACAAAGAGATGACCCTAACAACACTAATATGTCACAGAAGTGGGCTGGGGATGGAACGACGTCATACCTGAAGGGCCCTGAAGGTGCCCCACGTGTAATCAGCACCACATGAGATGTGGACAGTTTTCTCATTGATACCTGCGCTAAAGACCTTCATCTCCAGCGACAGCTCTGACCTCTTGTTAGCCCCCTTCCCCATCCCATCCCCCGACCAACACAGAAGCCGAGAGGCACAACCAGCATCCAGAAATCTCAGCTGTCAGATTTGCAGTGTGTTTAGAAAAATCCACTGGAGGATCGGGGGGGGGGCTACCCCATCTCTCATTTAATGCCCTCCCCCGCCACTGGCACCCACCCCAGAGCCTCCTTACTGCTCATTTAATATGCAGGGACAGAATTAAATCAGGTCCTCAAATTCTCAGGCATGTCTGTGTGAGGCGGGGATCCAGTCCTGTCATTGGAACCTGGACCAGCCTCAGTGGTTCCAGGGAGCTAAAATAAATCAGGCCAGGTCAGAGACAGGCCACACAGTCACGCAGTCATGTTCTGTGGTCCCTGGGTAGGAACAGACACATATCTCATATGTGATCATGAGCCATCAATGCACTGCCTGGCAGGCTTCCAGATGATGGCCATCTCAGTTGCCACCTGGCTGCAGCAGCATGGGACCCCTGGGGGAAGCATACAACCGGGACCCTTCCCCAGTCCTTGATCCATGGCACTGAAGTGGTTTTTGGAGGCTACTAAATTTCAAGGCAATTTGTCATTTGGCTATAATTGACACTCACTTCAGAGTCTTTGAAGCAGGCAGAAGGGAGCTTTTCCGGGGAGCTACCAGGAACCTGGGCCTGGAGGCAGGCATCTGCACATAGGTTCCAAGATTTCAAATCTTCCTGGTGGCCCCCAGGGGACTCCCATCTCTAGGGACAACAGTGGGCTGAGTTGTTCTCAATTTTGGTCACTAGGTGGCAGCCTAGAAGGCCAAATCACTGAAGACTGGAAGACTGTACCAGGTTCTGGGAATGAACGTCTGAGGACCCTGTGAGTCTGGGTGGTATTTGGGGCAGATAGGTATTGTGATGGGTGATCCAGAATCCTTGGGTTCTGGGCTGGGATGGGAGGAAACAGGCCTTCCCTGTGGATGGGGAATCCTGAGAAGATGTGGTTTGAGCGTGAACTGGGTTCCCACCCAGCAAGGTAGAGCCCTCATTGCTGTTTGAAGCTAAATGTAAAACTGTCATTTGTTTAATAGTTTTCATTAATAGATAACAGATCGTTTCTATAAGAGGCCGCAATTAGGATTGCTGAATGCTATTATCAAGTCCTCACAGGACGCCTGCTGCACCGGAGACTGTTCCAATCTCTCTGCTTCTCACTTAACCTCCGCAGCACAGTGAGGTTTAATATTATTGGACGGGGAACCGAGACCCAGCTGGCAGGTGAGACACCAGTGTGGGGTGCAGCACTCACCCTGCACACAAGGCTAAATGCTGGCTAAGCGTGCTCTTCCTGCACACACAGGGCCAGCCGCTTGCTTGCGTTCCCTAAGAGGCTGGCTTCAGGGCAGCTAGCTAGACTCTCAGGTCAGGGGCAGTCTCAGCCCACTGAGCCTGCTGGATGTCTTCTCTTCTACTTTTTATTTTCTGGCATTAGGATATAGCCCAGAGCTTCACAGTTTGGGAAGGTCCTCTATCACTAAGCCACACTCCCAACCCCCCCCCCCTTTTTTGGAATCTGCCAAAGACTGGACTTTACTCTGGTGTCTCTCTACAACTCAAACCCCTGTCTGCAGTGAGTTCCAACTGCCCACTTGTGCCTGTAGCAGCTGTGGGTAACATGATGAGGCACAATGGGCCTAGAGCTCAGGAAGACACACCCAAGACCCCTTACTTCTCCTCCAGGCTGGACAGGTCCTGCAGGAACTGGGATTTGAGCAGGACCTGAAGACATGGAAGAAAGTGAGGCTACAAGGTGGGCTTGGGGGAGGGAGGAGCATTCATGACTGATCCTGGCGTGGGACAAGGACTGCCATGTACAGGTCCCATATGCTT